AAAGACCTTTTGTGGCAGAGATTCTTGGATAGGCCTTAGGGGGCCCAGGAGTCCCCTGAAATTGAATGTAGAGTTTCCTATGTGCATATGTATACTTTCTTGGGGAAAAATAAAGTCACATCATTTTATTTTACTTTTCGAGGGATCTTTGGCACCGCTCCTCCCCCACCCCCAATTCCCACACCCCTTAAGAATAAATCAAGAATCACTGTTCTGGTAGTTTCGAATTGAATTCCACAGAGAGAGGAACTGTCATTCATTCATACATTCATTCAACAAACTTTTAGTAAAGATTTGCTACGTACCCATCGCTGCGTACGGTCCTGGGATTCAGAGATGAGTAAAGCAATCCCTGCCTTCCAGGGGCTCAAGCTCTCCTGTCATCGGGACTCAGTTACTTAATCTCAATAAATATCCTGAAGGTAGGAGTTTATAGAGTGGTTTTGAGGATCACATGAATAAACACACAATACATGGGTAATTGAAAAACGAAAACAACCGACATGGTCGTTTGCAGAAGGGGCACAGAAAAAGGGCCTCTGCCTAGACCTGGGGAGGTCAGGGAAAGTACTGTGGATTGGTAACAGCTGGCGGGGTTCCTACGAGAGAAAAAGAACTATACCCACAGAACCAGATCCTGTCTCTTAAAAAAAAAGGCGTGGCACGGTGACTCAAACCTGTAATCCCAGCACCTTGGGAGGCTGAGGCAGGGGGATCACTTGAGGCTGGGAGTTTGACAACATAGTGAGACCTCATCACTACTTTTTTATTTTAAAAAAGAGTTAATAAAAAATAAAATAAAAATAAAAGGGTAAAAGAGCCACTGGCAAAGTCTTGAGTGGATTAAAGCCGGCTCAGCTAACTTTCACAGCAGACTATATCATTGAAAAGGGGAAAAAGCACATGTCTGTTACATTGCTTAGGAAATGTGCTTGGTATATACCCTGGGACAATCTCATCTATATTTGTTAAGTTTCCTTCCAGCCCACTAGTCTGTGTGACCAGAAGAGGGAGAGAAAGATCTGAGAGCTCTCTAAGTAATAGAACTTAAAACATCAGACAGAGGAGAGTATATTATCTTGGTGACGGTAATTCTCAATGAGGAAGATCTTGGGGAGGGATGTTCTATGGGAGAAATGCCTGCAAGTTTATTTGTTTAATAGGTTTGTTTATTCAGTTTATTGAAATTCCTTTCCCAGATGGGGAGATCTGAAACTTCTCTTTTTGTGAAGGAAACAAAAGTCGCATGCTAGAGACAGCAGGTCTTTAGAACGGCAGCAAACCCACTGCTGGGATGTTGGGGCTTTTACTAGGGGCCAGTCACAGGTTTACCTCCTGCCTGTGCTCCTTCCAGCTGCGTTGAAACCCACTTGCCCCATCTGTGAACCGTGTTCAGCTCCATTTTCTGAGCCCCCTTATCTTTCTGTCCATACCTGTTACAACTCTTTGCACATTGCATCGTCTTTGATTTGGTCTCTCCCATTCAACCCAGCCTCTCACAGAGTTCCTGTCATCTCTGCAATTTCATCGCCTAGCATAGTACCTGGCACTTTAATTCATGCATCAAACGTCCACTGAGTGCCTTCTATGTGTCAGAAATCTGCTATACCGAGCTAGACAAAGTTGGCAGACATGACAGCCGAGTTGGAAAGATGAGACCCTAAACCAATAATCACACACACACACACACACACACACACACAC